AAAAAAACAGACCAGTTGGGTGGATGGACTGATGCTCTGATTTCTGTTTCTCGCTCTCTCTCCGTCCTTCCAGCACAGGAAAAGACAGATGACAGGATGAGGCAGAAGGGTGAAGGAGAATCTCCTTTTTTCCATCTCATCTCCGTCCATCTCATCCGATCTCTCACCTGGAGGTAAGGGCTGCCCAGGTGTAACCGGCGCTGTGCTCAACTGTCTGTTGGAGTGAAACTCACGCCAACATGCAGCAACACACTGCTGCTTTGATTTCCCTACATCTAAAACTGAACCTCCAGAGCTAATAAATGTGTACTTTCTGATCCATGAGCAACTGAGCTTGCAGACATGTAGCAAACTCCATCAATAAGACTTGTGTGTTGTGACGGAGGTTAAAGTTTCCTCCATCTGGAGACAGACACACATGAACAGACTTCTATTTCCCACCAGCACGCTTTTCATTTAAATTATTCACAGCAGTCAACACAATGCAGCAGATTCCTTCGGCTTCGAAACACTTTTTTTAAAGAACTTCTTACATCAAACAGCAACCAATTTTCTTCAATTTTCATAAAAACACAAACCACTTCAGAAATATAAAAACAGAGTATTACTGTGCTCAGAAACTCTTCTGGTTTGACAGAGGTATTCATACCAGTTTTTGTCATCTTTTTCATGTTAGAACTATATACATCAATGTATTTTTTTATGACAAAGTGGAAGGTATATGCACATTTATATAAGAGACAAGTAAGTCTGCATCCTTTGGCACACTAAAGCCCATTTGTCTTGACCCTTTGCATACAAATCCATCTGTGGAAACATGCAAGTTCACACTCAGCTGGTAAAAACGTTCACTTTGCCTCCGAACACAGTCCTTTCTCCTCCCTCCGACTTTCTCGCGCACATTCACACTCGTGGTGCCTCTGACGTCAGCGCGCCTCGTTCGCAGTACAGTAGATGATAGATTGCATCTCGCACTCGCAGAAACGGACGGACAGAGTGGTTATTGTTCAAGCTGCTGTGATTTAGGGCCGGGACGAACTTGCACCAAGGAAGGAGCACGATGCACTCGCACAAAGATGTCAAAACTTGATTTATGGGGAGAGTGAGGAGTCAAATGAAAGCAGTGATGCTTTTCCTCCTGCTGCTTGACTTGTAATTGTGGCGGAGTATCTGTATGGTTTGAGGGAAGGAGCACAAGAGGCAAAACTGCAGGCCAATGAGAGTGAAGGAAAAGGGAAAAATATGTGCATTTCACACATTCCTTCAAGTTCTCCATTTTCTCCCACTTTTTTCCTCCTTTCTGCACAAAACATTGTTCTTACCTTCTGCGATCAAAGAGGTGGAACGAATCGAGTCAACACATTCAGACACACGCATGCTCTGGACACACTGCAGAAAGTAAAGCAAGGCAGCGCGCTGAAGGAGATAAATGAGAATGACCACACCGAAAAGAAGAGACGCCAGCGGACTGAAAGCTTCATATGGTGGGACGGCCGCATGTTCGATGTTTTGTAATAAATTCTGGAGTGAACCGGCTCCACGGGTCCAGATGGAGAGTGGGGAGTGTGTGTTGGTTGTGACAGGGAAGGAATCTGGTAGTGGGAGTGAAATGACAATAGAACAAAGATCAGTTGGAGGGAAAAAAAAAGAAGAGAGACGGAAAGTCTTGTGACGAGGAGTAGAAGGTGCAACGAGCAAAAGTTTATTGAATGTGGATAAAATAAAGGTTCGGGATGGTTTTTAAGATAAAATGCCAGTTTTTCTGGACTAAATTCAGGTCATTGTTTTCTCCCTATGTGAGAGGTGCTTCTTTTTCCTCATTGCTGCTGTGCTGTCAGTCAGCTGTGCATGATATTCTCTAAGCAGCAGCTGTTTTAATAGTTCTTCCAGTTTGTTTGAACAGATATGTTGGGGCACAATTGCTGGTGAGCTCCTCTTTGTATGATGGTAGCAGAATAAAGTAAATCTCCAAAATTCACTGTTGGGAGAACTGCAGGAAAGAGCGACATCTTGGAGTCATCAAATTTCTATAACAACCTCTACGACTTTCAACAAAAAAGCACGAACACATTCACAACCCTGGAAGGATATGGAAGGATGCTTGTTTCTTTTTTTTACATTTGATCAAAATTTAAATCAAGACTTCTCAACAGAAACATCTTTTGGAGGAATTACACCAATCCGTTGTCTCAATTTTAACTGGTGTGCATGCCCTAACCCTTTTGGGAAGAGTACGTGTAAAAGCTCTTCATAATCATAGGTAGGTATCAATCCCACAGGCCCTGAAAAAGTTGGAAAAGTGCCTGAACTCTTTGAGGTTGAAATTAGGTCGTCACTGGACCATCTCAAAGGATAATGAAGAAATACTAAGGCAAGATAAACACAGGAATGGTCCTTCTGGAACACACTCAGTCTTCTTCTATGGATATTTTTGTCTCCAGACACAAATCCTAAAAGAAACTTGTGGGGCAAGCTGAAGGTCAAAGTGTTTCCAGCAGGTGAACTGTTTTAAGAGGAGGAGATGCTGACAGAAAGGTAGTTGGACAGAGCATTGCCAGCATGGGACACTAATGTTTGTAGCAGAAGTGATTTTGATGATTGAGATATATTTCTTTCCAACTTGTCCGCTGAATAAATTTATTCAAAAGCTGGATTTTTCATAAATATTAAGTAAAGGGAGCGTGTCGAGAGAATACAACGGAGAAAAGATGGAAGAGGAAAAAGCTGGAGGAAAGGAGATGAAGATAATGAGCCAGGCAAGAATGAGGAGGTGAAAGTGGAGAAGTGTGGAGGGAGGAAAAGGCACAGGGTGGAGAAGAGATGAGCTTTCCTCAGCGGGGGAGTGAGTTGGCTTTTATGTGTCTGGACTCATATTTATTAAAATTTCTGGAAGGTAATTTAATCCTATTTCTAACACCAAGATGATGGTGAAGACTGAGTGGTAAGGACAGAGTAAGGAGAGCTGACTTAGGACGCGACGGCGCTGAGAGAAGAGAAGGTTCATGAGTGAAAGAGGAAAGAAAAACAAAGAGATGACCAGAAAAAAAAGTGAAAACAAGATTTAAAATATCCATACAGGGAATACTTCTTCATTTCAAAGCCGAGATGACATGCTTGCATGTTGAAACGTGTGATTATTCATTGTTGCAGCACTGACACCAATCCAGAGGGAAATGAATTTGAGGGCAGCTCCAGCAGACCAGCTATATGAGACATTAATAAATTCATCAGGCTTTTGTTCATCAGTGGGAGCTTCATTTAAACCGAATGAATCAAAGATTCATTAAACTGCTAGAAAACATGTTCTGATTGAATTCCTTATTGCATAATTTCAAATTCCAATATAATTTCTTTTTGTCCCACATTTGCCTCCAAATTAACCTTTAATAAATGTGCATGCATGTAAATGAAACCACCACAACATAAATGTTACAAAGTCCGAAGAAAGCTCTCCGAAGTGGCTTTGCGGCGTTGATGTGAGAAACGAGGCGCTGTGGCTGCAGCTACATGTGTGCATGTCATCTCTTGTATAATATTTCAGCCTGCTGCCAGACAAGCAGAGTCTCTGTCTCATCCAGATGGCTGCAGCACCAACAGACAGCTGGGAGTCCCGAAACCAGGCCGCGCTGCCTCATCTGTGGCTCTCCTCTCACGGCACCGAGACAAATCTACCAACACAGACCATTAAAATAAACCCTGCCTGTGGTGATGGCTGCAGTCTGCGGGAGCATTTTCAATCTGCTATCTGTAACTTTTGTTGGTTTTCGGATGATCCAGACACTTAATTAAGTCAATAATCTCTTGTCATTGTAAACCTACAAAATATTTAGACAGACCACTTGAACTTTTTCTCATCTCACCCGGTCACAGGTTTTAATTTCAGCCCTCAAATCAGAGCTATAGAAGCTATACTTCTACTTCAGTATCTCATCATCATTAATAGCCACACAAGTAAGCATCATTTTTGTTCATGTTCATGCTAGGCTTTTGTTTAGCTCATTTCTCCCCCGTTATCACTGCCACCAGTGTCTTTAATGTCTGCTGTTTATGTACATCAAAGCATATTTATGTGTTAGAATGGCCCAGTTAAAGCCTAAAACAATATCCAACTGAGAAGCTGTGGCCAGACTGTAACCGCCATCTGATTAAAGATGAAGTCATCATTAATAGCCACACAAGTAAGCATCATTTACAGACAGTTAATGTCTGTAAATGATGAAAAGTGAAAACAAGATTGGAAAAAAACATCAGTTAAAGACAGTTCTACCAAGTTTTAACTCAGACGAGTTACATACAAATGCATGCTATTCATTTCAGACTTTAAAATGCAAGATTTAAAAACAACATCACAATTATGCATTACTTTATCTTGCATCTTACATTATCTAAATAAAATGCTTGAAAGACAATTCAACTTGCTGTTAACAAAACTGACCAAGAGCAATAACTGTTAAAAACATATATTTTACTTCAGAGCTTTTCAGAGGACAAAACATGTTTAAAATCACAGAAAGTCTTTAAAAGTGCAAAATTTGAGGTGTGGAACTAATACCTCAGTAATAAAACTATGTTTTGTAGTTGAGACCAAGTCACACCACTAACCAAAGCACTCGAGCTCCTATAATAATGTACATTATAAGCTAAATGCAAAGTTTTCTTAGTAGGGGCAGAAAAGATACCAAAGGAAGATGAAATACCAAATTTTGCAGAATAATTACAGAATATAACACTTTTTCAGCAAATTGACTAAGACTATTGGTCAATAGTCTTAGTCTATTGACCAATAGACTAAGACCTGTGATGTTAAGACATCACAGGTCTTAACATCACAGGTTAAGACCTGTGATGTTAGAAAAAATACCTGCAAAAAGACTAAAAAAGTGTGTATTCAGTGTTATCTGTTCACTATCAATATCATTAAGTAAGCTATTCTTTTTTTAGGGGACCTGGGGGGCTTTAAAAAGATCCAACAAACAGGTTACAAGCTGAAAGTTTCCTACCTGTGTCTCTTCCTGCACCACCCTGTATTGCTCCTTCCACACGGCCATCTTTGTGGCTTCATCTTTCCTCAGCGCTCTCTCCTTCTTCAACTCGGGACTCCAAAACGTCTTTATGGAGTTCATAGAGGAGCTCAGCTTGGACTCTTTGCCCTCCAGCTGCATGAAACCACAAGCAAACGTTTTCACTTCGTCTGCTTGATAATACAGCGACCCTTTGGTTTTACTTTCAAGAAAAACAACCCCAAACTATTTTCACATGAGCAAAATCACACATGTGAAATTTAACATAAAAACACATGCATCACATGATATTCCACACGTGGCTTATAAGGCATCACGTGTAAACATGTCAACATGTTATCCCTTGTGAAAGCACGTGTTCAAGCCTTGTGTTTATTTTTATATTCGGGAATATAATTCAAGACAACTGAATTTTCCCAACATTAAGAAGAAAAAAATGTATACATTTTTTATAAGACATAAATAAAAAAGAGTGCGTACCTCTCTGCGCAGCAGCTCGTTTTCTCGAAGCACTTCTCTTAGCTGCGTTTGCAGGTCTGACATTGCTCCTTCTCTGACCTGTAAAAGCACAAACAAACCGTTTAAAATGTGTCTCTTTTTCCAGTTAGAGACACATAATGCTTTTCTGCTGCAGCATTACAACATTACTATCCCTTAAAACGTAGCATCTTCTCAGCTGGAGCATCAAATTGTCTCATCAGTCAGCTGGATTATTTTCACAAACTCGTCCCTTTCTCTTTACCTTCTCAAACTCGGTATGCTTGAGATGTAATTTTAATTTCCCGGCGTTTTGAAACGCTGAAAAAGTGGAAATAAACAATACTGTGGATATTGGTGTCAGAAGTAGAGCTAAGATGGTTTCCAATGTGCATATTAAGATATATTTGGTGTTTGGGCTATTACAATTTAGTTATGATTCAATGATTCATCGACGAAACTCTTTCAATGTAAGGTGCCGACATTGTGAATTGCAGCTGGACAAAAAACTTAAATAAAAGTCTTGGCTGTTTCTTATATTGCAGTCCTTTAATGCAGTTAAGACGAATGAAACCTTGGCAAGTCGTGACACAGCAAACATTTAAAATCAATAGAAGAAGAACAGAAGGGTTTACTGCCTGGGATAATTCAGTATTTATGAGGAAAATGCTCCCTGCATGAATTCTTAAGCCAACCTGACATTAGCAGCATATTAAAGAATTAAAAATATCCTGGATTTATTTTTCATGAACAAACAGATTCCTACTTTGGCTCTGCCGAAATCATGCCAGGTATAAACATAAATGAACATAACGCAAGTAAAAAAACAAAACAAATCCAGCTAATGAAATTACAGTAAATCAGATGCTGAGAGACACTCGGTTTGTTTTGTTTAACATTTAATTACCTGCAGATAATTAAATGTTATTATCTGCAGAGGAGAGCTGCACCTAGAGAAGATGAGCTCTCAGGTTATGACTCATGGTGCAGAGGTAGTGCGAGGGCAGACCTTAAATATTATGTAAGAATGCCCACATTGTTCTTGACTTACTCAGCTGAAGGGTGGTTAAAGAAGACAACGACACCTATTAAAGACGGCGGGCCTAAAATCAGTTCAGACTTCCCACATCCCGGATTCACGCAGGAAAAGTGCAAAATTTATCCGCGTGACTAAATATCGTGTTGCGCAACCAGAAATGAGTCCTTCTTTTATATTTAATGATCAGACTGGAAGATAAGGAGTCTACCGTTACAAAGACAACAGACCCGGTGGGGAGCATGGGCTCTTACAAACTTTCTATCATCTGCTTAGAAAACACTTTGATCCTTAAATAATTTTTTTTTTAAAAACAGAAAACATTTTGGTCTCAAGCTTACTCAGAAAGTTAAAGTACAGGCCAGAGCAATTCTAGTTATTAAAGAAAGCAACACTGCAACAGCACCATATGGTGATGTGCAATAATTTCCTATTCATTCCATACATGAAGAAGAATGAAAATAATCCATGTTTTCAAGCTTCTTTACAAATGGAAATTTGAAAAACGTGTATTCCATATAGGCCTGTCAGTCACACTAAACAATAAATCAATTAACCGCATCAAAAATTCTTTAAAAGAAAGAAATCTTTTTAAAAAGTTAAAAGAAACAAAGATAATTCAAAATTATTGAATTATCTTTGAATAATTTTGAACGTAGTTCATTTTATTTATTGTTTCTGTTTTATTTATTTATTTTGGATATTTAAAATGTCTTCCAGTTCCAATATTTTATAGTTTATTAGAATTCAAAGGTTGGATCCTTGAGAACGTGTTCTTGCATTATTGTGCCATTAATTCTATTATATTACTTGAAAATGGTCTCAAAACAACAATATCATCATTTATCGCAATAACTTCTGGGACAACTTATTGTATAGCAAAATTTGTTATTGTGACAGTTTTACCATATTGGCATATGGTAAAACTTTCTTGTCACGACTATTGGTGTTAGGGCGGAGGCCCATAAACGAGGTGAAAGGTCAGCAGTCTCACCTGTCTCAGGGAGTGAGGAACAGTGGCTGCTTGTGGGGGCAGGTTCTGCAGCTCCCCTCCAAACGCTATGGCATCAGCGGGCAGGAGGGCGGCGCTGCTCCCCCCACCTCCTGTGTTTATATTCGGGCTGCTCCCCATCACCGCTGCCCTCACCCCATACGGCACCCTGGCTCCTGCTCTCCCCAAGGTCATGGTGCTTTTGGGCGCGCTGGGATTCAGCCCGCTGCCCATGCTCCCCACCGGGTCTTCGGCTGTGTCGGTGAAGTACATGGGACCCCCGGTGGCGTAGGCAGCGTTCAGGGACTGAATGTTCTCCATGGACAGAGTCTTTCCCGTGCCGGTGAGTCCGCCGCCAGAGCTGCTGCTGTTGTTCCGTCGGTGTCCCAAACGGGGGGAGCGCGGTAGGCGCGGCGAGCGGCCGGGACTCCCAGACACGGAGCCGTTACCGTTGGAGCCGACGACGTCCAGCTTGGAGACAGAACGGGAGCTACCGTACATGGTGGCAGAAGGAGAGACGGGTTCTGCACGCGAGAGTGTTTGGGTCAAAAAAAGCAGCTGATCAAATAAAACATGTAACCGATGAAAGTACCGGTCAAACTGATTCACAAAAACAGCACAAAATAAAATAAATAACTGAAGCTCCTCTTCACTTGGGTTGGGTCACAGTATTGACATAGCTGTGATCAAAGCCTTTCCAACACCCTCTGTAATCCATAGGCTTTGTTATGAAGTAGCGATCAACGGGGGAATCTCTTTATATAAAGAGGGAGAGGTGATCCACAAAGCCTGGGATGATGGGATCAACTGAAACGAAAGAGAGACACAAAGAGCCTTGATTAGGAAAGATCAGGGAAAGCAAAAACACAATAAATCTGACCAGGTTGGGGGTTTGAGTTTTACAGAAAATTCTGCTTCTGCTCACCACATGAATAAATCAATATATATGAATGCGGAAATGTAAGGATATGAACGAGTACAGCTCCTCAAAAACACTTAGCACTTAGCACTTTGAAGCTGAAATACAATGTTGGCACGGCGCAGCTTTAGACAATTTATAAACAGTTATGATCGATAATCAGTGACTATAAATTTGGTTGATTCCCTCTTTAGAAAAGTTAATTATGTCCAAGCTTCAACCACCAAACTGTCGATCTGCAGTCGTGCCCCTTGATCAATGTAAATGCACCTTAAAATAGGTGTATGCCTCCCCTGAACAAAATTTGCCAAATACGCAGTAAAAATATAACAGTGTTCCGTCTAAGCACGAAAATGAATGAAAGCCGCAAATTTAAATATAAATGAATAGTTTCCATGTGCTATTTTTTTGTTGGTCATACGCAATGTTGAATCAATTACAGCCGATGCCAAGAATATTAATTGTCATACTAATGTCTCAAACACCAAAAAATTTACATTTTGTCATGACAGCCTGGAAATAGCTCATGTGTGTTGGATGAACCGAATAACCTAAAAAGAAACCGATTAAGTCAATCATAATCCTCCTAATTTCCATAGCAGTGAAAATAATGAGACGTGTCATTTCCTCAGCACCCCTCTGGGTGATGAGATTAGCTTTTTGTTGCCCTTTGAATCAACGTTTTTTTTTGCCTCGGTCGACATGTTTTCTGATAATGCTTTGTGACATAAAAATCCGAGCCTGATAATCTGCCGCTCTAATTTCCCAGGTCTCCTGAAGTGTCCAACCTGTGGACAGGGTTGAATTGAGCCGATGTCAAGAGTGAAGGAGCATTTTGAAATTTTCTCTCTTAAAATGAGTCAACGCTCAGGCCCGTTATGTGTCCTTGGAGACGATGAAGTCACCATCAGCTCAGCGAACACATGAACCGTTGGACACACGAACCAGTCATCTGATCCAGATTCTCCCCTTACGGGAAGGCAAGCCTCTGCATATTTAAATGACAGGAAAATGTGGCCTCTTGTAAGTGTGTAACTGCAGTGGTGAACATTTCATCAGCTGAAGCCTTCGACTCTTCCTGCCCCTTTTCACACCTTTTACAGTCAGAATCCTGTGACTTTTTTTTTTTTTTTTATCTAGGTTTTTTTAATGGGTAGAGAGACAGTAAAGCCGAACACACCCTCACACCGGGACGCCACGTAAACAAGGACCATCTGCTACATCTCCCCTCAGGCCAAAAAACACACACCTAGAAAGAAACATCTACAGTTAGGATGTACATAGACTAACATACAATTCATGAAAAGTATAAATACAAAAGTTTAATCCATCAGGCAGGTCAGTGGATGAATATCTCTTACCTTTCCTTTGACTACAATTAGGCTTGGGGGATGTGTCATGTTTTATCATGACATTCTGTGGTGCTTAAGATAATAAAGAAAGTGGCAAGTGGAATGCATTACTTTTTTCTGTAACTGTAAGGCTCTGACCGCATGACACAGCCATCATAATGCTCTTGAGGAACAAACCCAAACTTCAAAAAGCTTTTTGAAGACGCCAGTCGCACAAAGACGTGGGATTTGTATCACCGACCTACACACAGCAACTGCGTTTAATCATATTTTCGCATTGATTTCCATTTATTGACGAAAAAGAAAAATAGGAAAAATAGCAATCCCGACAATGCGGGCAGTGTTGGGGTCTTATAAACATCATTATAATTGGAATTTATCATGGAAACATTAAATCAAACGTCTTATAATACATTTATCACGATAAACCATACGATAAACACCCACCCTTAACTATGTCATACATAAATTAAATAAATTCAAGACTACAAATTGAAACCTAGTTTATAACTAATCTGTTGAGAATTGAGAGGAAGTGTTGGTTTGGGAGTTTGCTGCTCCTCCTCCCTTCAGAACCTACTGACCTGTAGATAACATCTACACCAACGTCCCAATTCTCTCTCTGTAGCGTCTAAACATGCTGAGGGTTTGGCTCTATTGAAGCATTTACTCAACAAACACCCCCCACACATGCTAGAGTCACTTATTTATCACATGATTATACAAAGCACACAATCGTCTTTTTATTTTCACTGACCCCGTGGAAAGCACAACACACGCCGGCCTTGTTGCGCTTTCAGGTCATCCAGTCTGGGGGTCACATGAAGAACCCACCAGTGTGCGACACAGGTGGGTGATTTCTATCTGGTGGTTTTAGATGCTGACTGAGCCTGGGGTTATCTGCAGTGTTTCCTTGATCTTTTCTAAACAGGTGATCAATAAAGGGGTCAAAGGTAAAAAGATACAGAAAATACTTGAATCACGCGATCCCCTGCTAACGCTGGAGGACAGTTTACGTTCACTCTCAAAGGGCAAGACTGTCATTTTAATCTGGGGGCTTTAATGATGGGTTTTTTTTCCCCCAGGCTGGAATAATAACACACCCAGTTACCCCAACAAATTTCAAAATCCACAATTTGATTTTGTGTCTTTTAAAGAGTTGCACCTCGACCACTGACTTTTTGCAGATATGAAACACCCTCAGGGGTAAATCTGGTAGGATATTCAACCGCTGCTCTTGTAAGATAAGATTTAAAAAAAGGTTTAAGTTTGCTTGCTGAGCAGAAAAAGCAGCAGGGGGAGAGTCTGAAAACAACGCTGGTTTTCGTACGTGTACGTAATTAATCTGCTAATATTGTAGTTTTAGATTTGTGTTTATCTGAGCAGAATGCCTTTTTTTTTATCGTTAGTCAATGTCAATTTATTGTTGATTTTTAAACTGCAATAATCAACGTTGTAATGCTTCTGCAACAGTAGAGTGTATTGCTTCTCAGTTTTAATTAAGAGCATTTAGATCATGAATTAAATTTCTGTTTCAAGCTTTTGGTTTCAAATTTCATCTAATATTACGTGGAAAATACTGGGAAATAGAGCATACAGTTATAAAGCTGTTAACTGTGGCCTGAATCTGCTTTATTAAGCGTCTGTCACTATAACTACACAAGTGCTTACTGTTAAGACTAAAACCTGATTAAAGAGGATTTAAGGAAGCATTTAATTAAACAGATTGAACATATAGTCAGTGCCGATCATGGTTTGTTATACTGAGAAAAAAATGACTTTTTTCACCCCATTCTTTGTGACACCTCCAGGTCCGTTCCTCTTCCCAAGGAAGAGGAAGAAAAGCATCAACGAAGAAGAAGTCCTTCCTCTTGACTCCTCCGTTCAAAGTTTGTGCCTCGCCTGAGGATCCGCGCTCAATGAAGACACATTTTATTCATGATGTATATTTCTGCTCTCCTGTCAGCCCGTTGAGATTTGAAGTGGCTTGAAAGGACTCGCTGGTGCTGTATATCTGACTGAGTCATCCCAACTCGCCTCGCTGGCGGAGGAAGCTGTGCTTGTTCTGAGCGTAATCTGTCTGATGATTTAAGGAGATTACCTGCCACTCACCAGTCTCTGCTCTCTCAACTTTCACTGTTTCTTTTTCTGCAGCAACAACAACAACAGCAGTGTTGACAGAACAGTTGTTTTCTACGCCCCTGGTAGAGATGTATAAAAAGCCCTAAAGCATAATATTTCATTCCAGAATCATAATCTGACAATGGGAAATTTAGGACAACTCCACCTTTAATTTGAGCTCACTAATTCAGAGGAGAACAAATTGCATGATATTCTCCTAAAAACAGTTTCAAAGCAGCTAAAAAAAAGTGATTTTCAAGCTTTCTGTCTTAAGATTCCTGTTTTGCGTTTGAATAAATAAAACGCAACAAAAATCAAGTCATTTGTCATGATGAATAAATTTTGTAATGAACGACTACTAAAAAAATATGTGGAGTCATGTTAGCGTCCTTTTTCTTCTGCAGTTGTGAGTGAAAACTCATAACATAAAACTTACTTTTCAGGAAATAATGAAACTCTCATGCTTCCTAATGTAAAGTCACACCGTTTGCTAACACTCAATCTTGTACTTGTACTAGATCTGTCTCAGTGGAACCACAGATGAACAACGGAGTCAGGAAAAGAACCAAAAACAACATGCAAGGATTTTGCCTTAATTTTCTATGCAAGATAAAATTGCGTCTCTCCAGTAACGACACGGAGTTACTGAAATGAAATATTCGCGTAATGATAGATCCGGATCAACTATCTGCTTCAAAGTGGACAATCTCTGCTGCTCTGTGGTTTCTAGTGTTTTTGCAGCTTTAAATAAATGCAACCCAACGTGAAACCAGAGGAAGTTATTCACTCCCGCAGAATGCACTGCTTCTGTGTGGTTTTCAACAATTTCTTCAAAAACAATCCTGACGGTGGGCTTGCTTGGCCTCCTCCTCACGTGGGAAATGTCTGGGCAACAAGCAAGCAGTTGTGCAAATTAAGAAGCAACAGAGGGAGCATCTTGTTTAATCAAACTACAACGTGCGAATGGAAAAACTCCCAACTTGTGCAATTTTTTGTAAAAATGCTGATCCACAGAGTAATACCAGGATTCCTACACAGCCTTGACAAATGTGGAAAGAGTTTAATTTTCCAGAACTAGTAATATTCAGTCTAATAATATATCATCTTAACATCAATATGAACAAAATCCACATCACAAAGAGCTACTGTGACAGCAATAAATATTTGCAAATTAAATAACCATGTCAGTAATATTTTTGTTTATGCTTGTTTAACGTCGCAGTAATCGGGTTAGGAGTGCATTAAGATGTTTTCTAGTCATTAAGAAAATAAAGCTCAACTGGTTCACTGCCAAAAGCAGCAGATGTTGACAGATGAAGCTTTTTCAATTAATCATAGTGTTGCGTTGGGGGAAAAATGGGATACAGAGAAATATAAATTGCACAGCTGGATCGGTTTGTAAACAACAGTCAACCCAGGTATGCAAATTATGTTTTACCAAACAAAGTATTGCCTTTAGGTATTTCAGCAAACCTTCCCAAAATTCTTTAAGCACCAACCAGATTATTTTTTTAAGTGCTTAAAAAAAAAAATCAGACACTCTAATCTACTTCATTTATCCATTGTCTTCACAAAATGAGCCCCAGTGCAGATTCCCACCATATCAGAGTTTGACCAGACTGGGATTTATTTTGCACAGCTGTAAATTGACGTGAAGTGAAGTGAATAGAGATTTTGCTGTTTGGCTGTAAGCGTTTGTCATTGGGCGTCATTCCAGGCCCCGTCTCTGTGTAAGGGCACAACACTGAAGGCAAATCATTATGACGGTTTGCTGCCGAATTATGCACCAAAATCCAAACTTTTCCAACTTGGACCGAGTCATGAGTAACATTCGCCAGTGTCTAAAGTTTAAAGGTAAATTCATATTTTAATGCAGCAGCATAATCATGAAATGAAAAATGCTGAAAAATTCATCAAGTAATTTCAGTTCACTCAAAGTTACAGAAACAAAACCGAAAATTAGCTTTAAATTACAGCATAAATGTTCTAATACTGCTTCAATTATCGACCCCCTCAACAATTCTTTTGAAATTAACAATTAAAAAGTATAATAAACCTCTTTTATCTATCAGAGTATCTAAAAATGTTTTAGTAAATCACGACTTCCTGTTTCTGGAAGTAAATGATTATTTTCTCTCTATCCTTCCTCACAATAGGAAAGACGATCTAAGTAAGATAGGAAAAATAGTTACCAGTAAATAACTACTTGCCTAAACGCACTCATATGTTTTAGAGCCATAATTTTAAAGTTTAAAGGCATCAAACAACTCCCGGTCGGTTTGTTTTAATTGATGAAATTGTGGAAATTGTGCTGATTTATGTAGGTTAGAAACTCTTTTCACGAACGGCCAACAGTCTGTGTTAGGTTTTTCTCTTCAGTCTGCACAGCTCTGCCTGCAGTAGGAGGTATAAACACGGGAGAGCACAACACCGATACCGAACAGATAGGATCAGTTCCAGGCTACTGTGGGCCACAGGAAGTGAACTCACGACGCAAGCAAAACGCCCGCATAATCAAAGGTTCCCAGGTCACGTCACCTTTCTATATCTATGCACCGCTTATCTAATCCTGGCTGCTGTTTTCCTGCGCCAAAAAAAAAAAAGAGTAAATGTACTGCTGAGACTTGATAATTAGCACAAAAGCAGGGAAGTGCAAAACTAATTCAGGCGAGAGCAAGAGGGAGAGCCGAACTCCTCCAGGCCTATTATAGGGATAGGAATGTGTTTGCACAGTCAACTTGCCTGGTTAAACAAGAGGAAACCAAGAGGTGAAGGTGATCCAGTCCTTTTTAGGAGCAATTTTCATCACATCAAGAAAAAAAACAAACCAATATGAACAAGTGTTTCATGATTGACTGAAGGGATCTCAAGCCACCTGCCTGACTAGTAAAAATATATTTTTAGACACTGTTTGAAGAAGATTCTCTCTACTTCAGGTCCATCATGTTAATGCAAAGCCATGAAGGCCTGGAGGGATTTCAGTAACCTTTGATGTGGGACTTCTTCTTAGATAAGTTAACTGTTGAAGTTTGTGGACGGCGTGGACATTGACAGGGTTCTGCAAAATAAACTTTTTTCACTTCAGAGTTCCTGTGAGTTTCACCGTTTCTGATTTAAAACTTTTTAAGACCATCGTGAATTGAATTTAAGACCTACGTGTCCACGGAGATACGCAAACGCCGATAAGTTCACACTTTCCCGTGATAGTCCGGCGAAAAGCTGCAAGATTAAAAAGTCATTTTATGCCAGCTTACTTTTTTTAAAGTAAATTTAAGAAATTCGCCTCAATTTTAGATAAATAGATGTAAGACTTTTTAAGGATGCATGGAAATTCTGCACAGGTGCTAACTAATAAGTTTGCCTCATAATTGCTTTTTTGCTGTATAATTCTGAAGGGGAAGGAAAACAAGCGTCTCTCTGGACCCGACTGAGCTCAATCTCTTCACAAAGAAGGATGAATAAACAGAGAAAGACTTGCAGCGGGAAGTGCAGCAACAGTTGGCTCTGTATCAGAGCAGTTTGGTGTCTAGCAGGTCTTGCAATTGCTTAGAAAGAGCCTGACAGAAAACACACGGGGAGTTGTGGAGTTGGTGGAAAACCTCCCTCACAAATCCCACTAAGATGCATTAAAGTTTGCAAACAAAAACGTGGAAAAGAGAAAAGGGGGTGTGACGGCTTGTGCAAGGCACTGTAAATCTGTCCAGTGTTTACAGAAACTTCAGTGGAAGGAAGCAGCTCAGTTCCCTGACTGGATGTTGCAGGGGTGGTGCCACGAAATGAAGCTGGTGGGCGGGCGGAACCAGCAGGAAACCGTGGCTCCCTCCTTCCCTCAAACACCACCACCACCACCACCGTCCCCCTGCCCTGATCAACACGATCGCATCAGATTTTAGGTTTTGCACAAGTTGATTTGAAAATGCAATCACTACTTGAAGTTGCTTGATGTGCAGAAAAGGTCCCGACAGGAGATGCAACTTATAGTTGTTGAGAAGCGACTCATAGTGTGGCTCTCAGTCTGTCAGCAGCTTCAGATAATCCCCTTTAGAGGCATGGAGAAGACAAGACGAGGTGTTATTAGCTTGTTGTGCCCGGATGGGGAGGGGGGGAAGCCTGTAGCTGCATGCACAACATTTCGCTGAACGACTCAAAGCACTGCTGACCCGAAACGGCTGCGGCCATCAATTAATTATGTCCCTGTTTTATTCCTCCGCGTCAGGCTGAGCGAGAAGGAGGCGGCATGACTTACAGACAAGCCCACACGCGAGCACGCATGTCGGGTTGTGTAATGACACAAGCCCCGCGGATTCGCTTCAGACTGCCAGCTAAGTTTCAGTACTCACTGCGGCTGTGTTGACCCCCTCGTTGTGAAAGAAAAGGCCAGTCACAGATCTTCTCCAGTTTTCCTGCCGCTGTCTGCCATCAAAGTGACGCCTCGGAGCGTCACTGAATCCCAGGTACGACCCGCAGCTGTCTTTAAGGGGTGTCTCCCTGTTTTTGCGTGTCTGTCTCCGTCCGTGTCTCCTGCCTGTCTTTCCCTCTTTTCCGTCTCTGCCAGCTCTTCCCGCTGGTGACTTCCCCGCTAGTGATGCGCCGCCCATCGCTGAGCCGGCTGTACTTGCCAGCTCATTTTGGGACGGCTTTCAGGATCCAGATGATAGAGGAAGCAGTGGGTAAACATATTTGATGCTGTCAAATGTAAGTCTTTTGACAAATAATAGGACAAATCATTGCTGGACATCAATTATTGCTTAGTATAATTTTTTTCATAATCTGCTTTTTGCGATGGTGTTTTATTGCATCACTTTAGTGTAAAAACCTGATTTTAATGAGTTCGGGACTTAAAAAATTTAAAAAAAAAATTTTTTAATTTAAAAAAAAGTTTCGTTCATGTTGATCCAGCCAAATACTACGGATCCCGGAAAATAGGTGGAATTCCCATCACTGTTTCCCCGTTGCTTTCCTGCTCTGGCACTCCCGTGACGTCAGGAAGATAGAGTGCGCGCCTCGGACACGAACCCCTCTTGGTGCACGCGCGTGGCGCACGCCACTGTAGACTAAATTTTAAAATGACAGCTCTTAAATTTCGCCCTGCTTATTAGCAAGGTTACAGCAGCCTTAATGCATTCAAAAAGTTTTAAATTATGTTAGCAATAGCTTATTGAATTGAATCAATGCACAAACAGAGCCAATGTATCTCAGTGCTGGTAATATGTTATCTGAGGCAATATGTTCAGTAAGAGGACATTTTATTAATTGCAGCTAAAGGAATGTTTTATTTAATTATGAAATTTGCACACAAAAAAACTGTCCTAATTAAATGTTTTTTAAAGATCAAGTAAGTTAATGCAATATTAATTATAAAGTGGATTAAAAGTCTATTTACAAATGAGATGTGGCTTTGTTACAACAGAATAACCAGCGAGTCTCAAAAGAGGCGCTGTGGTAGAGCTGGAGGAGCTGCAGAGATCCACAACTCAGGTAAAAGAATCTGTTGACGGAACAAGATCCGTCTATATCGGCCCTTTATGAAAGGTTCTGTTGAATGAAAGTCAAAGGAGGTCCTGTTCTCTGCTTGCCATAAACCATTTGGCAAGGTCTGGTCAGATTAGTGCAAAACTTAACTTTTAGGGAAATATGAGAGCAATGATGGACTTTTACCAAGCTTCTGTCAGCTTTATAGTTATGACCTGACATGGCTCCAAAGCCAAAAGAAAGATCTCATCATTAACTGCTAAATTAATATAATCTCAACTAATAATCTCTGCTGTGAAAACATCTTAGTGGTAGAAACTGCATCAAATCAGATGGCCTTTACAAAAGCAGGCATCACGGTTCATTGGTGATAGATATTACTTGTGACATCATGCCCAGAAAGCAATACCAGTGGCGTTAACATTAACCTTCAGCCTGTTTTCATCTCTGTCACATATTCAGAAATGTCTAATGCAGTCACTTTAGATTGAGAAAGGTTTATGGATTTTTTTTTCTTTTGTCAGATCCAAAATCAAGCATAACACTGGTTTCACTGGTTTATGTCAGACTGATGCTCCAAAGCCACACGTCAGATGTTGCATGCGTTTGCCCGATTCAGAGTATTTGAAGAGCAAATTGGGCTTATTTCGGGATTATGGCTCTAATCCACACAATTATCCATCATCATAAAGAAAACCAGACGTTGACCTTCGTCAGAGAGACACAGAGTTGAACATTTACAGTGTCCCAGTTCCCTGGGCGCCAGTCAGTCAGAAAGCCGAGGTAAAAATAACCCACTGGCTTAAGTTCCCCTTGAGAAAAACACATCAGTGGAGGTGGACCGCTGCAATTTTCTAAATCCGTGTCCACTAATTTAACCAGAAGTGGGAACTTCTGTTTGCTGGACGTGCATCTTTGGTTTCTGTCATGATTTAAGTAGTGATCTCAGTCCTGGATAAACGCATGGGATCAGCAAAACATTCTCTTATTGGGTAAGAATATCAGGATGAAAGAAGAGAATTTGACATGCTTGAGTAAAATTTTAATAAAAGCCATTTAACAAACAATTGTGAAATGCATAAATCAGACAAGCTATCCCATTGCAGGTCTCAGTTAGAATGTAGTAGGATTATAATTCATTGTCCCACTGAGGGGAAATTTGTCAGCAAGTTAGAGATAAGTGAAAGCATTCGTATTCGCGCAAAGGTAAAATAGATCAAAGTAAGATTGTACAGTGAGGGCAGATTTACAGCATTAGAAGAATTACATTTTGCAGTTATTAACCTGTTTAATCACAATTAATTTAAAATCTGCATGCTCAGATTAAGACAAATGTGCAACTGCATGGGGTCATTAAGAATGTACAAAACGTGTGGAATGATCCATAAAAAACAAACTACAAAAAGCAGGGGGGGGCAAGGTGCAAATTACAGCAGAAATGTTTTTAGAAATAAAAAATGTGCAGAAAAATTCTTCAAATAACAGCAAGGATGTAAACATGCATTTGCACAGAAAGAGGTGGCTATGTCCCAATAAGAAATGCATGTTTGTTTCAATCCAGCACCTGAAATCCCCCCAAAAATGCATTAAAGTTTGTGGCTCTGGAGTGGAGAAAAAAAATATTTGTAATATTAGCCTGGTTAAATAACAATCCTGTGATCTTCATCTATTCTTTATCTTCAGATATTTGTTATTTGTTCCTAAGCTGTGAGGGACCCGATGAACTGATCCACTTGTAATGGAGTTGAATATTTATTGAACATTAGTGCCACTTAGTGGTCAGATTTGAGTATTACAGAAAATGCACACCAAACGGTGACTCATTTTCAGACTGATAGGCCATCTGGCAGAAATAAGAGAATGATTCGCAATATTCTGAACTTTATGGTCGTACAGGATTCCCCTGACCTCTTACTTTAGCTTAAGGTTTGCTTACAGGGGTGATAACAAGACTATCCCCATAATAATTAATATAATTATTATATATTCCAAATACAGGGTATAGTTTTGGTCTGTGAATGGATGAAATACCAGCCACTGAGGAAATAAATGATCTCAGAGGTGTTGTCTCCTTGAATGCACATCCTGTAAATGTGTATATCTCAGACCTGGCTTCCACATCGTAGAAAGAGACTTTACCCTCCTCGTAGTTGACAAACACCCTAACGGTCTGAATTTGGTTCTGTGTGTTTAATATCCACGCCCCGTCCTCAGGGGTAGGCTCGAAGTAAATCTCTCTGTTAATAAACTCTTTGGTCACTCCTAAGAGCCATCTTTTACAGCTGCTGACCTGGACTTCGTAGTAGAACCTGCCTGATGAAAACCCCTCCTTTGCAAGTATGTAAGGAAGGTATTTAAATGGCCTGGCAAAGAAAGAGAAGATCTGCTGATGTCCACCTACGGTCAGTCGCTTCCCATCGTCAGACACCCTGAGCCAATTGCTGGCTGTGTAGGGGTCCAGAGTCAGGTCCACTGCATTGCATTGCTGGATCATCATCAGCTCGTCCTGAGGCTGTCTCCACCGCTCGGGTAGAAAATTGTTCGCCGTCATATTTTCGACTGCGTGTGACTGTGTAGGTGCATCACAAGAATCAGACGACCCAACCTTTTGGATCAGCATCTCCATCTCATTTCTGAGTGTTTCTTCAATCTGACCAACTGACTTTTTCACCATCTCTATATGACCATGCTGACCAATGTCAGGAATGTCTTGTGTCATTCGCAAAATGGAGTCAGTAGGTTGGTCCGTCGGATGAGTATTGTCGAACGTCACATTGAGTGGGAAGTTTTGCAGCAAAAAGAGGTAGTCTTCTGACTGTATAAATTGTTCGACGTCACATCTTAGTCTTCTCACATCAGAAATGTCTTGCTCCAGCAGAGTTGTCTGATCTTCAGCTTGTTTCTCTATGTCTTTCTGCTTCTGCTCAATCGCTTCAACCAGCTCACCCTGATATTTTTGTACAGAAGCAACGAAAGAGGTTAAAATTTGTACAATTTCTCTGATCTCATCCGCTGTAGTTTCCCTGCTTTTTTCCACAAAGCATTTGATATTTTTAACACTCTCTGATTTGGAGATCTCTGACTTTTTCATCTCAGAGGTCACGTTCTCGTACACGTCTCTCCTTTCTTTGAAGGCGCGCTCCAGTGGAACAGCCTCGTGGCCCGTGTGGTCGTCGTTCAAACACATCATGCAAACACACTGCTGGTCTGTGCGGCAGAAGAGCTCCAGCATCTTGTCGTGCTTCTTGCACACCCTGTCCTCCAGGTTGGACACAGGATCGATCAGCTTGTGCTTCTTCAGGTTTTGGTGGGACTCCAGATGTGGCTCACAGTACGAGGCCAAACACACCAGGCACGTCTTGTGGGCTTTGAGCTTCGGTTTGGTGCAGACGTCACAGGGGACCTCTCCTGGTTGGGCGACGATCTTAGGGCCACCCTGTGCTCTCATGCGGTTGAAATGCTCCACCACATCTCTGAATTCTGTGTTGACCTTGAGCTTTGGTTTATTACCCAACTTTCTCTTACAGAGTGGACACTGTGCATTGTCCTGACTGTTCCAGTACAGGGTGATGCAGTCCTTGCAGAAGTTGTGTCCACACGGAGTGGAGACGGGCTCTTTGAACTCACCCAGACAGATTGAGCACAGGACCTGTTCTTCATACAGGATGCTGCAAGCTGAGGCCATGTCTGAAAAGGATCAAATGCATTTAGAATTTTGAAATGAATATTTACCACATTTTGGAGACTTTAATTGTGATTCTGTAGTTCAGAAACTTTCTATGACTCAATTGAAATCAAAAATCCTCCACAAGAAAAGAAAATGATTGTCATTGATGGCAAACACTTGATGCAGTTGTTGCTGCAGCTTAAACAACTTATAACCATTCAGGAGGCAATTACTTTGTCACACAGGACTCGGGTTATTTATGACTAATATTAAAACTTTGGTGATCTAAAACATTTAAGAGTGACAAAAAACAATAATAATAACTTTATTAACCTAGTTAACCCTTCTTGCTGTAGTGAAAGTAATTTCACATCAAATATGCAATTTACAGCTTTGTAAGTGCGAAGCAATAGTGTTTATACATTAGTTATATCTTAGCTCCATGTTACTAAGATTACTTTATTGCCCTCTGCAACAGATTATAGATATTGCTATGTTTATATTATGTATTCGATCTGGCATTCATTCATTAAGTTGTCAAAACACTTTTTATTGGCTAACATGGGGACTTTGTGTCCTCACATAACCTTCTGAGACAGAAAAAGGTCTGGCTGACCCCCAGTGTCAATTTGCAGAAAAATCAACCCCCAAAACTAACAGTTTGTCCTCATGATCACTTTCAAGACTCATCATCTCCCAAGTTATTGTTTTTTCTTTTGCAAAGTCAAATAGTTTTTCAGTTTGAGAGATAAAAGTGTTTGCAGTTCTCTGGATCTGTCACTATAGTTCAGTTTCCTCTATCTTTCCATCCGTGCGGATCTTCAGCTGACTTCAAACAACTATTTTTACTTTTACTCTTCATATAATTGGAGCCAAACAAAACTAATTTCGTACCTGCTGAGCTGGTCGTCCTCTGAATGAGAAAGGCTTCTCTTTATTTAAGGCATGTTGGTTTCGTTTCTCTGGAATTGTTGCGTAGTCAGATTCTGCCCTCCTCCTCCTCACACACCAAAAAAAAAAAAACTTCTTCTCTTTTTACTTTTAATGGCGGTTGGAAGCAACTTATTGTTGCGCATTACCGCCATCTACTGACTCCAGTCAGTAGATGGCGGTAGTAGTCAGTATAATAGACCCTATCAATTATACATTACAGTTATATCTTAGATATATCTATATCTATATAAATAGATATATGTACCATAAGCTGTATTTTCCCATAAGCTTCCATACATATGTATGGAAGCTTATTTCCCATCCCATTGTGTCATGTGACCATAGTCCCATGACACAGACCCCTCGGTCATCAGGGGTCAAACAGGCCTTTCAAGGCCCGACATTTCCCTGAGCAGTGCATAGCTTGTAAACTTAAGAAAGGATAAACCAATCTTAAAGCCCATTAATTCTCTAATGGGCTTTGTGTTTGCAAGCATTTACTGCAAAGACAAGGAAACGATTTGGGACCAAATGATCTCAGAGGCCCAACATTCAAAGGCTCTCCTTCTGCTGGTCATTGACGTCATTCTGTGACGTTAGATCCGGAGTTTGAATGCATCAGAGAAGGGTCACGTGACCAATGACCAGCTGAGCCAATCAGGTGTTAGGAAAGGGGCAACATTCCAATACTGTGTAATAGGAACTGTGAAGTAGCCTGCGCTAGCTGGTCATTGGTCACGTGACTCTCCTGTTACTATGGCAAGCCGTTTTTTTATAACTTCGGTTTTACTGCCCTTACAATCCAGATATCTCAAATTGTTTTATGACTATACGTTTTAGTAATTTAAGATATCTCTAAATTTTAACTAGATAAAATACCTATCTGAAATATCTCTGATTACATTTTGACCAGTCAAAATGACGTCAGATTTACAATTGACTTGTATGGAGACTTCAGTTGAAAATATCTACAATGAATTACTGACTATCTGAAATACACATTTCAGATATCTACTATTAAATTATGACTTATCATAAATCAAGATAACTCGATTTTAGTTTTGACTAGTCATAATTCTAATTAAAGATATCTCGAATGACACCATAATTCAAGATGTCTTAATTGTATTTTTGGACTGGAAATATGTAGTTTTGACAAGTGAAATTTAAATTATAGATATCCTTAAAACAAATAATGACTATGTAAAACTAAATATCTTCATAATTTTGTCTAAAATTATGAAGACAAAATATTCAATATTCATTTTCAGGTATCTCCAGATGAATTAGAAATGTCTTAAATTACAGTTTTTCTGTTTAAGATTAACATTCTGACTCGTGAGAATGACAATTCTGATATTGTGAATATGTATTCTGTATAGTCTAAATATCACACTTATTTTGAAAGTTTAATAAAACAATACAAAATAGAGAAAAAAAACAAAAAATGAAAAAAAAAAAGTGTCACTTTAATGTTGAAAAAGGTTAGCTTTTCAGAGCAGTTTTTAAATGCATTCGGTTCGTCAGAAATGAATGAACAGGAAATTATAAGCAGATTTCCGAAGCAGTTTTAAAGTCCACATCTTTCGATACTGTGGCATTTACTGAAAATTTTGAGCAGGAAACATTAAAATTATGCAAGCAACTATTTGGACAGCACAAGGGGCCTTCCACGAAATTCTTAATTCGTGGATATCCAAAATTGTAATTTTGACAAGTCAGAATTATGTTTTTGAATATCTTAAATTGTAATTACGGATATGTATCCCGTCAAATGACGGATGCTGTGGCATCATTTGGGATATCGTTGCAGTCCTGTTTTTGTCTTAGTGAATTTCGACTCGTCAAAATGCAATTGAAGATATCTTGAATTATTATTCTTACTAGTCAGAATGTAAATGCAGATGTCTTAAGTTGCCATTCCGGATCGTCAAAATGTAGTTTTGTCTAACCAAAATGCATTTTTAGATATCTAGAACGTAATCAGAGAAAACCAATTCATATTCATCTATATGTATGTATAAAGTTCACCAATTTCTGACTAAAAGGGTTAGGAGTTTAGTTGTAAAATATTCTCAGCCTCCCAGAGGTTTAAAAGAAGACAGTTTTATTTGTAACATGCAGTTTTTGAAAACTGACGGATGTTGAGCGTTTGTAAGGAAGACATATTACAGAGAAATGTTCCACTATTATTCACAATTGTTCCACTATTCAGCTTGTTTATATAACTATCATATTCATTTGCTTATGATCCACAGTAAGATAATTATTTCAATTAAAATGAAAAATATAAGGCATAGTAGGAACTATCAAAATATTCATTTGCGTAAAAGAAAAGTAGGTCTCAAGCATCTTTGGATGTACATTCCACAGGAGTGATAGTAAGAATATCAGAATCAGACAACAATAAAAAGAAAGGGTAGAGCTTTGGCCTGTGAACAGTGGAGAATCCAGCAGCAGAGTAAAGAAAAGCTTGCAATCCTGTTTTTGTCTCAGTGAAGCAACAGTCTGCGGTGGAATGCAACAGATCCCTGGTCTCTGTGTTGTAGAAAGAGACTTCTCCCTTCTCGTAATCAACAAATACACCAATTCTCCTGATGTTTGTTGGACACAGCGACCCGGAAAACACCCAGGCTCCATGCTCAGGTGTGAGTGGGAAGAACTCATTTCTGTTAATGGACTCTTTGACCACTCCCAAGATCCAGGATCTGCTCAGGTTGACCTCAACTTCGAAGTAGAACCTACCTGAGGAAAACCCTTCATTTCCCAGTACAGCACAGTACTGTTTGAATCGCCAGCCCGAAGGAAAAACGAAGTGGTCTCTTGGTCTGTAGAACAGTGTCTTCCCATCTGCGGATACATGAACGTACGGGTGGGCGCTATAGGGGTTCAGAGTCACATTGACTGCATTGCATTGCTGGATCATCATCAGCTTGTCCTTTGGCGGACGCCACACATTTGGGATAGGATGTCTCATGTTTTCAGCTTCACGGAAATCAGACAACCTGATCTTTTGAATTAGCATGTTTATCTCATTGTTGATGGTCTCTTTTATTCGACCTACTGACTGTTTCACCAGCCCTGCATAGGTGTGGTGTTCAGTAAGTGGGTCTAACAGAATGGTGTTCACAGGTTTAAAATTGGGTGGACAGGTCTGCAACAGGTAGAGGTAGTCTTCTGACTTTATCAGTTGCTCAATTTCAGATCTCCTTTTTCTCAAATCGGAAAGGTTTTGCTCCAGCAGGGTGATCTGACCTTCAGTTTGTTTCTCGATGTCTTTCTGCTTCTGTTCAATTGCTTTAACCATTTCATCCTGCTTTTTTTGAAAAGAAACCACCGGGGCTGCCAAAACTTGCGCAATCTGCCCAATGTCATTGACTGATATTTTCCTGCTCTTCTGAACTGAACGTTTGAGGGTTTTAACACTCTCTGATTTGGAGATCTCTGACTTTTTCATCTCTGAGGTCACGTTCTCGTACACGTCTCTCCTTTCTTTGAAGGCGCGCTCCAGTGGAACAGCCTCGTGGCCCGTGGTCGTCGTTCAAACACATCATGCAAACACACTGTTGGTCTGTGCGGCAGAAGAGCTCCAGCATCTTGTCGTGCTTCTTGCACACCCTGTCCTCCAGGTTGGACACAGGATCGATCAGCTTGTGCTTCTTCAGGTTTTGGTGGGACTCCAGATGTGGCTCACAGTACGAGGCCAAACACACCAGGCACGTCTTGTGGGCTTTGAGCTTCGGCTTGGTGCAGACGTCACAGGGGACCTCTCCTGGTTGGGCGACAATCTTAGGACCACTCTTTACTCTCGTGTGGTTGAAATGCTCCACTACATCTCTGAACTCTGAATTAACCTGGAGCTTCGGTTTATTGCCCAACTTTTTTTTGCAGAGGGGACACTGTGCAGGTCCCCTGTCCTGACTGTCCCAGTACTGGGTGATGCAGCCCTTGCAGAAATTGTGTCCACACGGAGTGGAGACAGGCTCTCTGAACTCACTGAGGCAGATTGAGCACAGGACCTGTTCTTCATACAGGATGCTGCAAGCTGAGGCCATGTCTGGAGAGAAAATTGATCAAGTTAGTTTGACATTCAAAATTCAAACCACACGAGTAAATTTAATTCTAACAAGATAATAATAATTAAAAAAATGGTTACCTCTGAATTTAATGCGTGTTTATGGCATTAAAATGAAAGATTCTATTATGACCTGAGATCAGTGGGGGGAAAAAATCTGAAAAGCAAAACAAAAGGCAAGTATGGCAAAAAGGGGAAAAAAATGGATCATTAAAACTGCCAGTCACACAAATCAGTTTTTAATCATCAGCTATTATTGTTTTCCTTTTAATCACTTGGGTATTTGGCATTGTAGCTGAATAGCAATTTATTAAATTGATCTTGTTGTTGACAGTAAGAGGTGGAGCCAATGACAATGCATGAAAGAACCAGTTTGAGCAACATGCTTTCAATTCTTCAGTTTGTGGAGAATGGCAGTGAAGAGACCAACACAAAAGAGCAACCGCAAATTTCTGGTTATCTGACTATTGTAAGTATAGCAATTTTACAAGAAGTACAATCTTTCCAGACTGTCCATCAGTGGACAAAAACCTCTGATTTGGACCTATCAGTATAACAAGCAGGTAGCACAAGAAACCATGTACTTCATCTAATCAATATGTTCATATTCTTACTCTAAAGAGGGAACATTTCCAGAGAAACTGATTATCCTGTGTAATTAACAGTACTACTCATGCAGAGCTGCAACTACACCATGAATATTGACCAAATTGCTCTGAACTGGTTTGTCATACAGATGTTAAAATGCACAACACTAACTTTGTCAATTATTATGCCAATGCCCTGTTAATAATTTCCATGAATAAAAACAGTCGATTCATTAACAAATGTTTCTGATTTGAAATGCATGCATTAACTATGTCTAACTGGTCAACACTGCAAAGCACAAGTGTATTTTTTCTGCAGTATATACAGTTTGAGTGTATAACATGTTTTATTAATTTATTAAGATGTCCATA